ACTAGCCATTGTTCTTAGCTCTGGGAATACAGCAGGGAGCAAAATAGACAATATTCCTTTCCCACGTGGAGTCAGTATCCTACTGGAGGGCAACAGCCAATAAACAAATAAGTACATATATAGTAGAGTATGTCAGTTGGTGATCAGCATACGGCAGAAAACAGGAGGGATAGAGAACGCCACTGGTGGGGTAAAGGTTACAGTTTTATATAGGGTGGAGTCAAGAAAGGCCTTGCTGGAAAGAGAACATTTGAGCATAGTACTGAAAGAGGTGAGGGGAAAACAGCCATGGGAACATCTAGGAGAAGAGTATTGCAGGCTGAGGGGTTAAACATATGCAAAGGCCCTGAGTCAGGGTGCATGCCATTACCTATCCAATGTCATCTCCCTGTATTCTACAGCTCCAACCAATCACTGGCCTCCGTGCTGTTGCTCAGATATACGCTGGTGACTGGGAAGAGGGACCAGGGAGGCAGTGTAGGAGCTCCTCTGAAGAGGCCTTCTCCTCACGCTGAAAGGCAGGCCATCATCATGGCTGAAGGGGAGGGATGTTGGGCAAACAAATGCTGCTCTTGTGCAGCACTGTCCAACAGAACTTCCTGCAGTGATGGGAATGTTCTTTATCTGTGCTGTTCATAAGTAGACACATGTGGCTACTGGGCACTTGAAAGGTGGCTAATATGACTGAGGAACTGAAATTTTAATTATATTTTATTAAATAAAATAATTTAATTGATTTAAACTGAAATAGTCAAATGTGGCTAGTGGCTACCATATTGGCCAGCATAATTCTACAATAAAGGTAGGTCTTGAGAACACAGGAATTTATCATTAATAAACAGACACCTTACTTCTAAAATACATACATACATATATATATATATGTGTGTGTGTGTGTGTGTTTTAAAATATATATATATTTATTTCATTTAATTTGCTAAAGTTCCAGGTGGACTAATGAGAATTCTATGACTAAATATGACAATTATGATAACTTTACTTAATTGTCACAAAACATATGTGTTAACCATTATTTACCATGTAATTCTTTGACTTCTGCATAGAAAAACTATTGCTATTGTTTCCCTGTGGATGACTTATTATTGCTGAAGTAACAGTTAAGAAATTTTTTTAAATATGTTTTTAAATCAAGCTGTGTTTACTGATAGCAAATTTTTTCTTCTCAATTTGATTTCACTTCAGGTGACACATAAAATGTAAAAATATAAATGAAATATAATGAATGGGGTATGGTATAATAAACTATACATTCAAGTACTATTAAATTCTAATAAAATAGAATCAAAGACTGATTAGCACAATGGCTTAAAAGATTCTGGAGGGAGAACTGGCATTCAAACAGCTTTGTTTTCTACAAAACTGGAAATAGAAGATACTCATTAATTCAAGAGATATGCAATGCCAATCTTTAAAAACTACATTCAACTTTATAAAACTATATAGGTTCTAAAAGAAAGGCATATATATATATATATATATATATATATATATATATATATATAATACCAAAATTACCACTATTAAAGATACACACAAAAAACCTCACGGCTTAGAATTTCAATGTTTAAATCAACAGCACCCAGAGACGACGAAAGCCAGTTACTAAAAAATGTATTGCTTGGTTAAAACTCAGTTTACAATTCAAAGGATTTTGAAAATCTCTGTGCTGTTATGAAGCTTTATGGGGTTTACAGTGGAGATGAAAACAGAAATAAAAAGATCCAACAGAAAATGCCGAAGATATTTCCAGCATTATAAACATGGGTTCTTTTTTCCCTATCATTACTTTTTACCTCTCCCCAAGGAAACTGACTTTAACTCATCTGCCTAAAAAGACAACTATGTTTCCTGGGATACCTTTCAAAATGTAAGTCCCAGGCAATTTTACTTGAAAGAATATTATTTTAAAATTTTTTTAAAGGAACCAGAATGCAAACTCCATGAGGGCAGAAATTTTTGATAATCTGCAGTATTCCGTGCCTAGAATAGTGCCTAACCTATAGTAGTACATAATAAGTATTTATTGCATTAATAATTAGACCAGAATCTTTTACTAATAATAACATAACCAAATTGCATTATAATATTTTAACTTTGATAATCTAGAATCATTCCACTTATCAAAAATTCTTATTTTACCATCTATACATACAACAAAGCCCTTTTTTTAAAGCTTACTGGTAATTCACAGAATTAGCCGAAGTCTTCTATATTCATTATTTCTGTGGTTATAAAATTTTATGATCCCTATGAATTCCAAAATTTATTAATTCTAATAATGACCTAAACTCTAAAGGAAAAATCTGAAACCTATTCATATGGAAACTCATGGAATGTTAGGATAAAATATTATTTAAATTACTATAGAAATAATTGCAAAACAACTGATGGATCATCCTGGACGTTTCATGGTTTCCTTAAATCTTTTAAAGGGTATTTTCTAGCTCTCTGCTTAGTCTTGTTTTATATTACTGCCAAATCCTTCACTTTCAAGATCAAGTACACTGAAATGCCACATAATAAACTGCACTGTGCTTTTTATATTTTATACCAAAAGATCAAATTTATTTAAAAAACAAATCCAATACGCATTAGAAAGTACTAAGCAGGGATGTTTGCTGTAATTCTGTTTACTGCAAAAGTCCCAATGTTTTATCAACTAACACTGAAGTTTAAATTAAGGCTAAACTCAGGAAATTGATCTTCATAATATTTTAACGTGATGTTTGTCTTTATAAGGTGGTTTTCTCCTAAGAAAAATGGACTTAAATGTCCTTGACTTACAGTTAAATTTCGGTCCCAGATCTGTATGCTTCCATTCTGGCAGGCAGCTGCTATGAGGTTTCCATCTCTACTATATGTGCATGTGGTGGGAATTACTTTTTTACCCTGCATCGTTCGTGGTTTAAATACACTTCTTTGCTTCTTTGGATTTTCAACTTCCCATGTCCTCACAGTCCTAAAATGAATAGGAGATTTTTTTCATTTACAAAAAAGAAAGAAGATTAAAGTACAAACAAGCCCATAAAGACTGCTTCAACATCAAGCATATAAATCTAATAATTATTATAAAATGTGCACTGTAAACTTTCTCCATTTATAAATGAGGTTACTCACTGAAATAAAGTGAACCATCTGAATAGTGTTGTCGTCAAATCAAACAGCAAATGGCAAATTCTACTTTAAATCTATCAGAGTTATTACTTCTGACCCTCTAAAGCAGAGGCCTACAGACAGCTCTGATCAGAAAAAGCGTTGAACAATCCCTATATATATATATATATATATACATTAATTTCTAACTACTTACATGTGTTAATATAACACACACTAGAAAACACACTGAAAAAATAAGTCACTAAAAAAGAATGATGTCCCACTCTAGGGCTCAGGCAAAGAGCTCCTGCCTCTGGGGAGGAGTAAAACCAAGGCCATATGCCTCTGAGTTTTCACTAAGTAACAAGCAACAGCAGTCTAGAGCTAGCATGGGGAAAGAATACCCACCTGCTCACAGTCCCAGACAAAGGAGCACTACCATTAAGGGAGGCTAAAAAATAAATAAGTAAAATCTATATAACCCAGAGAAAGAAGAAAAAAACACCACAGTATTCAGAAAAACAAAGATGAGTTCAGTGACTTGGCAGAAATTGTCCAAGCCAAACCACTATACAACAATATCTCTAGAGTTATAAGAGGGAAAAAAAAATGAGATCTAATATTCTATAGCCAGTGAAAATATATTTAAAAATAAGGTGAAATAAACACTTTTTGAGTTGAGCAAAGCTAGGGCAGTTCATGTCTATCAGACACGTACGACAAGAAATATTAAAGAAAGTTCTTCAGGAAAAATAAACATGACACACATGGAAATCTAAATCTACACAAAGAAACAAAGAGTGCTCATGATGGCAAAAATAAGACTAAGTGTAGAACATATTTTCATAATGTTTAAATATTTTTTAAAGATAAATTCCTATAAAGCAAAAAGTAATAGCACTATGAGGTTTGTAGAATATGTTCAAGTAAAATGTATGACAATAATAGCACAAAGGTTGGGAGGGAGGAATGGAAGTATAGTTTTATACTATACTTGAAATGGTATACTATTATTTGAAGAGAGATTTTGATATATTAATGATGTATACTGCAAACCCTAAAGTAATCACAAACACAAAATAATGGAGATAAAATGGAAACAAAAAATTAATCCTATAAAAACAAAATAAGATAATAAAGAACTATGGGATAAACATAAAAGAGTAACACAGTAGGTTTAAATTCAAACTCATCAATAATTACATTAGTTGGAAATGGCCTAAAAACTCAAGCAGGCAAAAATTGTAACATTGGGTTAGATAAGAGCAAGATTCAGCATATTCTGTTTTAAAAAAGCATACAACAACCTTTAAATATAAAGACTTCGATAGGCTAACAGCAAAAGGATGGGAAAAAAATGTGCCATGTAAACATAATCGAAAGATGGAATAACCATATTAATATCAGACAAAGTATCCTTCAGAACAAGGCAGAAAGACAAAGAGGAATATTCATAATGATAGTCAACTCATTAAGAAGACATAACAATCCTAAACGCATATGCCCGTAATAACAGAGTTTCAAATACAAAATCAAACTTAATATAAAAGAAAAACAAATCCATCCTTATAGCTGTACATTTCAACACTCCTCTCTCAGTAACTGATAAAACAAGTACACCCTCTTCCCCCTCAAAAAAAACCAAAACAGTAAGTATATATAAGACCACAAAAATACTACCAAACAAGTTGAGCGAATCAACATTTATATAACACTACACCCAACAACTAAATGTGCATTATTTTCAGGTACACATTGAATATTCACCAAGATAGAATATATTCTGGGCCATAAAACAAATCTAAACACACTAAAAATGCATGAAATCATACAAAGTATGTACACTCTCAAAAAATATAATTAAATAAGCAACCAATAACAGAAATGCATCTGGAAATATATCGTTTCCAAAGCATTAAAATTAAAAATACAATTGTAAATAATCTATGGCTTAAAAAAATCACAAGGGATATTAGACAATACTTCAAATCCAACAAATATGAAAATACAGTATATCAAAATTCATAGTATTCAGCTAACACAAAGCACACAAGGAAAATATAGCATTAACTGTATATATTAGAAAAAAAGATAGAATTTCCAGTAAAGATAGAGGAGTAGGTAAAGACTGTCCTGTCCTCCTCTCATGACATCAAAATTGCAACTAAAGTATAGAAAAACCATCACTGAGAATCACCTGAAAGCTAGCTGAACAGAAGTCCTACAACAAAGGACACACACAGTAGAAGCCACTTTGAGATTGGTAAGAGGGGCGGAGATGTAGAATGGGTTAGACCCACACCCATGTAGAGGTTAAGCATCAGGAGGGGTATTTCGGCTGCAGAGGTCCACCTAGAGAAGCAAAGCATCCCAGCCCTAAACAAGTCTCTACAGCCCAGGGTTCCAGAGCCAGGAAGAGATGTCCCTGGAACTTCTGGCTGTGAAAACTGGCAGAGATTGTGGCTGAGTGAGATGGAGGGGAGCTGAAATCCCAGGCATTCTTCATAAAGGGACTGCACACAGACTTAACTTGCTGACGGACTCACTCACTCTGAGCTCCAGTGCTGGGGCAACAGCTTGACAGGCGCCAAGGGCATATGGGGAGAAACTGGATTGTCTGGCTGCAGGATGAGGGCTGGAGGGGTAGCTTTCTCCCAGAGAGAAGTGCTGGCAGAATCCATTGTTTCTTTGTTGACTCTCCCCTCTCCCAGCATGCAAACACAGGAAGCACCATATCTGAATCTCCATCAACCTGGCTAATACTGTTCGCCCCACTCTGCCTGGTGACTCCCTGAGATCCCACCCCAGCCAACTTATGGTCCCACCCAAGCCACTTCCAGTGGCTTTCCCATACAAACTGCCTGTCTTGGCTCATGCTGTGGACTTTCCTAAAATCTCTCAAAGGTTCACAAAACCCAAACAAGAAGCATCTGGCTTCAGCATGTCTCATACTTCTGGCTGAGCAGCCCTAAGCACCGCACTAGCGACAGCTAGCCTCAGTTTGAGGCTTGGCCTCTCAAGAGACCTCCAAGACCAGTGGGTGGAAGCCATCTTCAGATTGCTTTGTGGCTCATGCCAGGTGGCCCTTGGCTAGGTACAGGCTGCTGCAGAAATTGGCCTGCAGTGGGTCCCCTCCCAGGAGGCCCCATGGCTGGCACACCCAGTGGCCAGCTTTGGAAGGAGCTAGAGCAGCACTCGGCTGCCTCCAAAGATGACAAACCTAAAGGGCAAACTGGGCAGGCACCAGAGCCCTGCTAAAGTGAATCCTTCTCTGTAAGGTTAGCTCCTGCACAGCAGCTCCTCCAGTGTAGCCACAGCCAATCAGCCTGAGGATTAATCCCTGCTACTGATGTGCAAACAGCAACCAAGGCTGAACTACAACAGTAGGACACACACAACCCACATAAGGAACACACCTGGAGGACACGGGTCTGGTGATCAAGGAGACTGTGCCACTGGGCCCCACAGGACACCTACTACATAAGGCCACTCTACTAAGACTGGGAGACACAGCAACCCTACCTAAGACATAGAAACAAACACAGGAAAGCAGCCAAATAGGGAAACAAACAAAAAAAAACATGTCCTAAATGAAAGAACAGAACAAAGCTCCAGAAACAGGACTAAACAAAATGGACACAAGCAATCTAATACACGCAGAGTTCAAAACACTAGTTATAAGGATGCTCAATGATCTCAGGAAGAACTTCAACGAAGAGATAAGAAACATAAAAATGGCGATAGAAAACATAAAAAAAAGAACCAGTCAGAAATGAAGAACACAATAACTGAAATGAAGACTATATTACAGAGAATCAACAATAGATTAGATGAAGCAGAGGACTGAATCAGCAATTTAGAAGTTAAGGTAGCAGAAAACACCCAAACAGAAAAGTAAATAGAAAAAAGAATCCAAAAAAATGAGGATAGTTTAAGGGGCCTCTGGGACAACATCAGGCATACCAACATTCACATCATTGGGGTACCAGAAGGAGAATGATGCAAGGAATTAAAAACCCATTTGAAGAAATAATGACAGAAAACTTCCCTAACCTGTCAAAGAAAATAGACATACAAGCCCAGGAAGCTCACAGAGTCCCAAACAAGATGAACCCAAAGAGGTCCACACCAAGACACATCATTATTAAAACAGCAAAAGTTAAAGACAAAGAATCTTAAAAGCAGCAAGAGAAAGGCAGTTACCTACAAGGGAGCTGCCATAAGACTGTCAGCTGAATTCTCAACAGAAACTTTGCAGGCCAGAAGGGATTGGCAGGGAATATTCCAAGTGATGGAAAGCAAAGACCTACAATCAAGATTACTCTACCCAGCAAAGCTGTCATTTAGAATCAAAGGACAGTTAAAGAGCTTCCTAGACAAGAAAAAGCTAAAGGAGTTCATCACCACCAAATCAGTATTACAAGGAATCTTAGAGGAACTTCTTTAAGACAAGAGAGAGAGAGAGAGAGAGAGAGAGAGAGAGAGAGAGAGAGAGAAAAATATATGAATAATAAAATGGTAATAACTACATATTTACCAATAATTACTTTAAAGGTAAATGAATTAAATGCTCCAATCAAAAGATAAGGTGGCTGAATGGATAAGAAAACAAGACCCTTACAGATTCTGCCTACAAGAGACTCACTTCAGATCAACACACACAGACTGAAAGTGAAGAGATGGAAAAACATATTTCATAAAAATAGAAAAAAACAAACATATAGAGTTAGAATAGCAATACTTATACCAGACAAAATAGACTTTAAAACAAAGTCTATAATAAGAGACAAAAAAGAACCCAGAAATCCCACTTCTGAAGAGACTTAAAACAGTAATACAAAGGGACATGTGCATTTCC